CCTTTATTGCTTCGGCAGCCAGCACAAGTGACTTGTATATTCCAGGAAAGATAATAAAACGTGGCATATTAGGTGTCTCTTATTTCCTGATGGTGCTGTGCATCATAAACAAATGATTGAATAGCACACGTTCGCCATATTTCTTTTGGAGTGAAATATTGTTCAAGCAAAAAAAAAATTGGCAGTCATCTCCGGGTGTTGACTGCCATTTTACGAAGAGCGCGTTTTTGTATAATCTCGACCATGCTAAGAGAAACGCAAGCTAAACATCACAAATATTGAACTTTGTAACACAAATATAAGTTAATGAGACATAGCTCACAAAACTTCCTGAAATTGTGAGCATTTTTTTTTATTTTAACAATTGTTCTAAGCATGCTGCATTTTCGAAACTTGGTTCCATTTGGAACGCACTAGCTGCGTCTGTAAACATGTAAACTTGTTCATATTTACAGCATGGATACACCTTTTGTGGCAGCAAAAATCACCTGTATTAGTATCTGTTCATTAATGTGTTATGTATTGCATATTTTTGCTCAAACCATGAAAAAACAAGACTCCTGATCAATAACAAAATAGATAATAAATAAACGTGTAAAGCTCAGTCACATATATTTGTGTTGATCTCGGATGACTGCGGAAGAATATTTTGACGAAGCCATTTGGAATTTTATTTACGAAAAAATTACAGATCTTTGAACAGTGTGTTTTCAGAGAATTTCTCGTACGGCGTAAGGGACATTTCCTAATGTGGAAGTAAATGAGCGCACAAGGGAAGGAAGCACTTGACCTTGTGCTCGCATATACAGCCAAATCGTGTTGCACCGACTGACGCAGCATTTCAATATTTCCGACATTTCTGGTTCATAAATAGCACACCTTTATTTTTAACGAGACAACAATAATGAGCGCTTTCGGTGAATGGCAAGGGTTCTGCCACGAAAATGGGTGTAGTCAAACGGCGACGCTTGTGCATATTTTTTTACCTCAAAAAAGGTTTCATTCAAAATGAAGTCACAATTTCGTACTGTACGGTCATTGGGTCGTGCTATACAAAATTTTCAAGCAAATTAGATACACGAAATATATAACGTTTTTTTTCTCTCGCGAAATCAACCTATTGGAACGACATTTCGTCCAGAAGTCAGCAACAAAATTTTTCATACTGCAAAGAAGAAATCGTACGAAGGTTTCGCTGAAGTTTAACCAATGAACTGGCAGACTTTATAAAGAGCTCTTCCCTGCGTGCACTTTACTGTAATCGAAGCACTCCACATATAACTATAACTAGCACAATATTTCCACTTACTGAAGTTGATCTTAAAACTTGATGTGCGCTCCATACAAGGACAAGTATTGTGCTGTCCTAAAAATACCTCCTACGGGGCGAGTGATACTTAATCTGCGAGTTCGTACACGAAAACTTGAGACTCGTAAATGCAGTCGCTTTTACTAATCATGACATGCGGAACCCCCTCATTGGCATTTCTGTGGCGCTTTACCGGGTTATCCGAGACTACTAAGCTGGAGACGATTACACTTTCGTTCGCTTCACGGAATTGGCCACTCCGGTTTGTTAAACTTGCCGCAGCGAAATCAAAGGAAGTTTTCTCGTCGACAAGCACGCTTGAGGAAGTAAAGAAAAATATAATGCAGATTACTTTACGTGAGGCTAATCTGGGTCACAGAACAGCTTGTCGGCTTTCATAGGTGGTCCTGCACTGCTACGGTAGCTTGCGTTTTGGTCGTTGGGACGTGGGTTCGAGTCCCGCCTCGGCGAGCGAACTTCGTTGACTTTGACCGTATTCTATCTATCTATCTATCTATCTATCTATCTATCTATCTATCTATCTATCTATCTATCTATCTATCTATCTATCTATCTATCTATCTATCTAGCCGTCAACGACTTCTAGCTCTCCTGGCTGTTTGAATGAGATTTATACCTAAATTAGTATAGCATAACATTACTGTGTGACAAGCATAAGCGACTTGTGGTAACATAAAAATCAAACCATATATGTCATAAATGTCATCATACACATGTTATGTTCTTCCTGCTCCTGCGGTTGTTTTCTTCACGTGACATATTGCAAAATTGGAATGGTATTACATGAATGCATAGTGAACATAACAGGCCCTTACGTGGAAATTATGACATGCGTGTCATGTAAGTCATAACGACATATCACGCTAAGGATGTGCTCGAGGCCGTTTCGCTAGCTTCACAAACACCAAATTTGGTATTACGTGACTTGAATGGATGGCGAAGATATATGACTGGTGCAAGCATGGTAATCATGATAGGCGTGTCATATGAGAACTTGACTACGTCCAACACTCACGACGCACTTGCGGCCATTTCGATTGCTTCACATTTAAGAAACTCGGTATTTTGTGACGTGAATGGATTGTGAGTAATATCAGTGGTGCGAAAATGACAATTTTAACATGCATGTCATCTATAATCATGTCTACATGTCACGCTCATGATGCGCTTGTGGTCGTTTCGCTAGCTTCACATATTACAAATTAGGTATTACGTGACGTGAATGGCTAACGAAGGTTTGTGAATGGAGGAATTATGTGAATCGTCGCATGCCTGTCATGTATAAGAACTTGGCTACATGGCACGTTCATAGTTTGCTCACGGTCATTTCACTAGCTTCATATATACCAAATTTGGTGTTACGTGGCGTGACTCTAAGACGAAGGTATGTGACTGGTGCAAATGTAATAATAATTAAATGCGTGTCATGTTACTAGAAACATTACTAGAAACAACACTCATGATGCGCCCATGGTCGTCACTAGCTTCACATATACCAAATTTGGTATTACATGACGCGAGTACTAAACACAACGAACAAAAATTCCAGCCGAAAAGATGATAATCATGACATGAAAATCATTTACTGCATATTTTCGTCCACCTGGTAACGTTGTGCTGATTTTATTGGAACATATCAACTTTCCTCATTCCTGCCTTGCATATCATCGATTCCCACTTTACGGGGGATCTGCCCATTTTTTATTATGTGCTTGCTGCTGCAATAATTGCGCGGATTTCACCATATGTGATGTTCATTATGTTAACAACTTTGGTTACCTCAATGAATAATATATGCTCATGGGCATCACTCATGCGGATGGAGATGCCCTTTCATGCGTCACGATTAGTGGGTCCACATCAAGCGGTACTACATCTGCCAAACACCAATGGGCATTTTACATTTCACTACCTTCAAAATTCACTATACACAACCGACTAGTTCTATGAGGACACGTCTCGATTTCCTGGTTTGTCCATGTACGCAAGCAAACTGGTTTCAACCTGATTTACGTGCCTGCCTTTCCTGAGCTTTTTTCTCTGTGTGTGTGATAACAATTTATAAGCAGTTTTTTGCATTAAGACCCGAATTAACCATCTCCAAAAGTTTGAAACAGTTCACTTTTCACAATGATTCCCCCCGAATGAAGCAATGACTTAGTTAACCATGCCGCATCCGTTGCAAGCATAGCTGAGAATAATTTTAAAATCAATGTTCAGAATTTTTTAGGTGGAGAATATTTACATAGGTGCGTGTAATACATGCTTGTATTACAACTGCGTTCGAGCGAAGATTTTTAGCTTTTTTGTACTATATGCTGCTTAGAAATGCATGTATATTTTTATTTTTTGTCAGGTTTTTGCGCTTGTTTAGAGTTAAAAATAAACAAATGTGGTGCAAGAATTTTATGTCAGCACTAACTCAATACTGTTCAACTCAGCGTTGTTAATAAATTTTTTATCAGTTGAATAAACTTATGTATTTATTGTATTCAGTAACGTCTTCAATAACGTGCACAGGCAGCACACAGTACACAGATCTCTAGCATTCCACCTCCATCGAAATGAGACTGCTGCGACCGGGATTGAACCTATGACATTTGGGTCAGCACTCAAACATCACAATCGCCACAAAACCACGGCACACTGCCTTCAATGTACATTACGTCTGTATTGTGAAGATATAATATAAATAAAACTTTGCGTGAATGAAGGTCGAGATGTTTCAAGCGCAGCATTGGGTAATATTTGTTAATGGGCACAAAAAAGACAATTAACTTGGTCCAGAAATACTTTCGGGCTGAAACGAAAATCCGCGTCTAGCATAAGGGTTGAACCTGAGGCTACAAAAGCATGAAAAACACTCGCTAAAATGTGTGGACTTTGGCGGCTTCTTAAGGAGGTGAAGCTCGTCAGGAAGCTGAAATCATGCATGCTGTTACGAGGTCTACGTAAGCCAGTCATTGTTTCGTAACGTCCTAATAAATATATAAAATACAAGATGTTCTAAGAAACTGTCGAAACTATCTTACGCGAATGATAGACAGCTCATATTTTTCCACAAACACAGACCACGAGAATGGCGACCTGGTGTCACAAAGCCAGCGCTCGTGTTGCGTGCTGTGCATCGCTCATAGCCCTTGCTCCGCAGCTCTGAGTTCTTTGAATATGTGGAAAGACAACATACCCCTCTGCCTAATTTTTTATTATCCGGTAATTGGCACGCTATTACGCGAACGGAGCTCTACGGGGAGCTAGCAGTACAAAGGGATGCGAAGAGCAGTGAAAAAAATGCCATGGATGTTTTGTACAGTCTGAAATTATTGTATTGTTCGATTACTCGTAAGTACTCAGGCAGACAAAGAACTCACCACAAGCTCACATACCGCGGTGGACAGGAATCTTTAGCGAGTAACTGTTGACACAGTTATCGGTTGCGCTTCAGTGGTTCGCTTGTAGGCTGTAGACTTCCGTGAAATAGACACGCATTGGCACGAGTTCGGAAGTACGTGGCCGTAATCCTGTAAAACGGAAGTTGCGTCGGTGCCCACCCACTAAGCTGGCCTGGTTGAGCGGCATCTTTGCGATCACTTGGTCTGATATTGGAAGCGGAGAAAGCGGGTATAAAAGGCCAAAGAGGCGTGAGCACCATCAGAAGAGTTCCCGACTCTTGCGTTACCTGCCCAAGTCATGAACTCTCTGGTGAGTCAACCCTTCGATGTTCAGCTTGAGGTGAACGTTCTCTCTATGTTCAGAAAAAAACACGATTCTTAGCACCATGTGATGTACCATATAGTAGATCGGTGGGCCTGTTCCTCTACCTTGGCACACGACATGACACCTCTTTCTCTGTCCTCAAGGTCAATTATTCTTAATAGTGCGTTGGAGCATGAACGACGACTTCGTTTTGGTAGGCGCTGTGGAATGACTATACGTCGTCTTCGGTTTAATCTATGAGAGCATCAGTTTTAAGTACCTCACTAAACACGAAAAATGAGCATAAGCTCCAATGCCAGTGAGGCTAAAAGCCATCGGGAATTAGTGACGTAACCATATTCTTGTCGTTTGATGAGAGCGTTAAGATAAGACATAGCATGGCATCGTCGTTCTGTCATAGGTAGGCCGATCTTGAAGGCACGTAATGTGCAGAAAGTTCGCAATGATGTAATTTTAAAACAAACCTATGATGTGAAGCAAGGGTGCGAGGGCCAAGCATGCGAGGGCCAAGGATGCGAGGTTAATGCTATTTAATGTAAAAAAAAATAAGCGACGATTCTCGCGAACACGTTATCTCGGGCGTTGAATAATGGGTCTGTGGGTTTGGGCGTTATGAACTGTTTGTTTCCTATTTCATTATTTTTGCCGCAGTTACATTCTGCAAGGTGAACATGCACAAGCATTCACTTGTACATGCAGGTGAGCCTCGCGATCGTCTGCTTGGCGCTATTGGCGTGCGTGTCAGCCGGTGGTGTTGGTCTCGGCTACGGCGGTGGGGGCCTCGGCTACGGCGGTGGGGGCCTTGGCGTCGGCAGCAGCGTGGTGTTGCTCAGAGGTGGTCCTGGATTCGCCAAAGCTGTCGCCGGGCCGACCTTCCTCGTTAGCACGGTGCACCACGTCAGCAACGTGCACGGTGGCGGAGCAATCGTCGCACATAGTGGACTTGGTGGTTATGGAGGAGGATACGGCCTTGGCCACGGTATCAAATGGTAGTGGACAGCCTGCTCACATAAACAGGGAAATCACGTAAGTTTTAACAACCTCACAGCTCTGCCAGTGAGCAGAAGGAGACTGATCGCGGCGATATTAACATAAAACTGAAGGAGCTGCCATGAAATTACCCCAATAAACTTCTGTTTTGCAACAAAGTTTGAGCATCCTAATTCTGGGTTTGTCAGTGAAGTGCTTTTTTTGCGACCACAATGCCGTACCATTAGCAAATTGTGTAACTATGTTAAGAAGGAGTGCTGGAAAACCTTTTATTCAGGAATTTTTTAGTGAGGAAGCGCGTTCTAAAATCACGTAATTCTAGTTCTATATGCGAGAAATTTCGTTCCATATGCATGATGGCACAAAATTACGGTGCAAGTTATCTCCACAGAAGCAGTTAAGTGTGAAACTCTTCTCTGGCGTTAAACGTTCTCTGACGTTAAACAATCGCTTCATTTAGGATTTGATCAAGTGCATAATGACATGCTTTCGTAGTTGCCCTAAAGATGAAGTCAACCATAAAAAATGGCAAATAATGATGCACCTGGAAGCCGTGATATAGCTAGTGCACTACAGTGCCGCCAACTATTTTCCTGGCTCAGCTATTCTTGCTTTAAATTTATACTAATAGATTAACTTGAAAGCAATGTTATGCCGGTGAACGTAGACTGGCGTCGACCTTGAAGCTGCTATAATTATAGCGCACCAACCTAACAGCGGTGCTCCCGCGTATGCAAAAATTGCGCAGAAGTTCCGCTATAGAGGAACGCTCACAACCGCATGTGTTGAGAAATTCACTTTGCACAGAACCTGATAAGAAAGAAGCGTCCAAATGTGTGTTAAGCAAATGAACGATTGGACTTGATAGCGCTGCGGTATACGCTAAACATGCAGCTGAATGTTTCTAAAACTGTGTGAGGGTGCAATGCTTTAATTGCGACACAACATATAAACAATATATGGAGGAATAGCAAGGCAGCTTTTTAGGTCGGCTCATTAATACAAATGTGCTGGGTGAATTATGTTTGCCGGTCATTTTCAAAAATGGATCAGAACAAAGATCAGTAATATATTTCATCAGCAGTTGATCTAGCTCATCAGAAGATCAGTTGATAGTTCATCAGCAGTGGTTATGTGTTCTATGAAACAACGTTACACCGGAAGGTACTAACTTGACAATGACATTTTATTTTCTTGATATTTTATGTCGGTACAAGAACGGATGCAATCTGTGAAACATTGTCACAAATATTTTGGAAGCGGCCACAAATAGCTGGAAGTATTGAGACCTTCCCTTCGCGAGAGTGTCCTAATATATAACAACAGGCAGGCATAATTCAGCATTTAACCATGGTATAGATAGTTTTCTATCTTGCTTTGTTTGGTTGTACATGACTAATGCCCAATGTGTTCTTTTTTTCAGTGAATTACTGCTCAGAAGTTAAAGGCTTAATTGGTTGCGCTCGACGCAAACATCATGACCTGACCTTGCAATAAACCATATTACCAAGCTTTACTGAGTGATGTAAATAAAGTGTTTCGATGTGCTTCAGTGGTTTTAAATTGTGCACATTCACCCGCCCTGTTGCGAATCCGACATTGGACTACGATGTAGGGAGCACGAAGGCGCGTGCATAATTACCTGCATCCTCGGAGGCCGGATATCAACGACAGTGAAATTGAATGGAGAGCAATAGCTAAGCGGCTCAGTGGGCACAACGAAAGAGCGGAGACGCAAACTGCGTATGAGTGACACGCTTGGTGAGCCCACGATTTTACGGAGCGAGCCGCTCAACTGCTCAATTCGTCGCCTCCGCAGAATGTCCGCAATGTTCCAGCGTGTGAGCGTTCTCCAGCCAAAACCTCTGCTCGGTTGACAGTAGCTTGAACTGTGTTCAACAGGCGCGGCAGCCATGCGCTACACTCTCTTCGATGAAACAAGCAAAGAATTCGCTCGGCATTATTCCTCTCTTAGACTTGCGCTCCGCTGGCCCCTCCGCTTTTCTGCTGGGCCCGTTGGCGAGCTGATCCGCTTAGCTGATAATATCTAATGAGCGTCTCTCATTATCACATGGTGGTTTAGGGACGTTAGACCCCACATAACAATCAATTATTCTCTAATGGCAAGCTCATCAAACATTAAACAGCGTTCTTTATTAAAACCTGCGCGCCCATTGTGTCGTCATTGCCGCCAAGAAATTTGTGTTAATAAAGGGCCCATGACCCAAAATTTTCTATCGCAATCTTCATTATGAGGGTTAACCCTTCTGTTTTAGCACATTGCCCGAGCGCCTAATATATAACTGAATATATTATTGCGATAGCATATATATGGACACACTCTGCTGTGTGCCGCCGACGTCACCGTCACTCGCCGTATATGTATACCTATCAATAGATATGAAACAGCAAGGAAGAAAAAAAAACAGAAAAAGACTCCAGCGCCTGGAATTGAACTTGGGCTCTCCCAATTGTGTGTGCGAGGTTGTAACCACCGAACCACTGAAGAGCACGTCCTTCACAAATCCAACGGCAGGCTATTTTTATCTACCCTTTGCCGTTAATAACGGGCATCTTGGGAGAAATTATAGTGTTTTTAGGATTAGGAGCAAGGTGGCGCAATGAGCGTGCGTCGCCACATCACGTGGCGACACGTGCTCTAACCTTCCATGCGTATATTGCGCCGCATAGAGGAGGGAAGCGACGCTCTCTGGCGCACCCCTACCTCGCAATGGAAAGGAGGGAAAGATCGTACGTCTTGGCTGGCCTCAACTTTACCTGAAACAATTCTGTTCTGCACTCGTCGACAACTTTTCTTGGCACTAAAGGGAAAGCTACGGAGACGGAGCTTCTGCACTTGTAGCACTAAGTGAAGTAGTTCGTTTCGGAGCACTCTCGTAACGTTAAGAAAATTTACGGGGCCCCAATCAGCGTTCCATGTAGATGCAGACGCCGCTTAGCGTTTGAGCTGCACGTAAAAAGGCTGGACTTTCTTACACGTTCAAAAACACAAAGCCACAATGAATGAATACAAATGGTGAGAGCTGCGTCCTGTCTGGAATATCTCCACGCAGAAAATAAAGGAGCAATGTTTATAGTTACCGGGCCCACAAGGTTCACTGCAGTTTTCGTAGACTCCATTTGCAAAAAAAAAAATGCGCGCTTTTCGGACACAGCGAAGTAACAACTGAGACACTTATTTGCGTGCATCTGCTCCTTGGAGTACGTTTCATGCATCATTTGTGCGTAAGAAACGCGAGACACGTTACGATCTGCTTTTTATTCTGTGCGTGACCTTGCAGTTTGTTGCTATCGCGTTCATCGCTTCACCTTTCCGGCAAAGTTTTTTTTTTTTTGTAAACACGCAACCACCCTGAGAGTACTTCATCGCTCTAACACTTGTGAGTATTGAGTAACCAGCAGCTAGCTGCGTGAGCGTCTGCATTGCGGTGAACAATATTCCTATTTTCCTTTCCCCTCTCTGTTCCCTCCTACTGAAAGAATAGGTAGTTGCAAGCTTGCTCTCTTTTTTATGTGTCATTGCGTATCTATGTATACAAATCAAACAGATAAATAAATAATGATTGTCGCATGTCAAATCAAAATGTAGTAGGTTTCTTGAGTTCGTCACTGCAACTGACCGATTTGCAGCTGCTGTAGTATTGATAGAAGACGGCGGCTCTACTGCTTGATGGACATGACGTCGGCTGCGGCGGCTGCATTTCCGATGGAGGCGGAAATGTTGTAGGCCCGTGTACTCAGATTTGGGCGCACGATAAAGAACCCCAGGTGGTCAAAATTTCCGGAGTCCTCCACTATGGCGTCTCTCATAATCATATGGTGGTTTTGGGACGTTAAGCTCCACAAATCTATCAAATCTGGACATGACGTGACATGTGCCATGACGAAGTGGTGGTCATCGGTATTGGGTGATGTTTAGTTTGGTGACTCTTGGGATTCTTTTGTACTAAAGTATTCCGCAATTACGACCAGCTTTTATTGTATGTTTCGACGTGATAGACACACAGCTTCTCAATTTAGAAAGAAAACACAAATTTCGGGTGCCCATGTCATTATTCTTTCAAGATATTACGACAAAAGTCTTTTATATGAAGTTTTACGAAAGATCGACACTCTTAATTTCCGACACAAAATCGATGTTCGTAAAGTGGTACTGTTTAACTGCGATAATTTAAGAAGAAAAGTTCAGTCAGCTGACCGGGTAACCAAAACATCTATGCACTGACATTTCAGAACGCAAGCATATCGCAGTCATCGCTAAGCTATGCCTGCAGTGAGGTCTCACGACGCGAACAAGTCAAACATGCTCTGTGCTTTGCCACACGAGCATAACACCATAGTGGGTGCAGGACTAAAGTACCTGAAACTGCTTAATGTTTCAACACTCTATAAAGAAGAGCGCAACTCTTATCTTTTCCCATTGGTATTTTTATGCAAAAGGTAGTCTCCCTTAGCAAAACACGGTGTTTACGTGTTTCAGCCACGACGGCAGCAATATGATTGCGAAATGTTCTTTTTTACTCAGGTAAACATTCGTCTTTTGTAGAACTTTACAATGGACAGTGCGAAACAGGGTGCTGCAGAGCACAAGGCCTACTTGGACAGCCCCATTGTTCTTGCGTCGTATTAATCACCGAAGCTTTATCACCGAAAATGTTTTTTTTCCATTGGTGGCGCACATCTCAAAACCAAGGACAACACGAATTGTGTACACGCGATCGGCACGCGCCCTTTATCAGTTCTATGAGTGCTACGCGCCGTGAGAGTTTCCCACCACTCAGCTGATTGGCCGTGCAAACGCACCGGTTGGTAACGACATTGCCCGGTCGACGTCGCAGCCTCGCCTTATCGACACGAGTGGTTCAATATGTGTGCTCGCCTGGATGAGCACACGTGATGCGACACGATTACGAACAAAAAGTTGGCGCAACACGCTTGTTTTGTGGGAGTCTCAATGGGATGCGAAAAGAACGATGGGTTGCGAGAAGAAAGAAAATAGAAATTGATTCTTCATCGTTTATGTCTACTGTGGTAATTCAATTTTTCTTGCCTGCAAATTTCGCTTTGTCCCCAAATGTCAGCGTGCTAAGACCCAATGTGTTTGCCAATCGAACCGGTATTTTTACTAAAAATTACGGGATTCTGAAAATGTACTCTGTCTTCATATTGCTTAAATAACGGAGGAAAAGCTGATAATTTTGCGTTAGGAAGAACTTGCTGAGATTGGGTGATTTAGTCGGGACCCGGAGCTATTTAAGGGTCAGGGCGAAAACGAACCAAAGAGCCGAAGACAAAAGCTGTAGCGTTTACTTACAATTCTTTGCATTATTTAGGCAGCATCATACATGGAAAAAAGGAAAGCGTTCTGGGGCGTCTTGTGGTCGTGTTTTTATCTCCTGGTCTTCCTAAGATTCTCTACAGGGAAAACAATTGAGGCCAGACGAGTCCAATGAAACAGTCAGCATGACTTCCGCCCTTGAAGAGGAAAAAACAAATACCGCCTTCTTACCAACCCAGAAAAGAGAGAAAGAGGCGCATTTTGTTGATTGATTGATATGTGGGGTTTAACGTCCCAAAACCACCATATGATTATGAGAGACGCCGTAGTGGAGGGCTCCGGAAATTTGGACCACCTGGCGTTCTTTAACGTGCACCCAAATCTGAGCACATGGGCCTCCAACATTTCGAGGCGCATTTTGTCACACGGCGAAGGAGAAACACACACAATACACTACACAACTAACAAAGGGTAATGACGGGAAGTCTTTCGCACAGAGATGACCCTTCGAGGAGGCACCGCTGCGGGCAGGCCATAGTACGCGGGAAACGATGGCTGAAAAGGCACCTACACTCTAAGGCAAAAGGTTGTTAACAGGGTATGGGGTTCGTCTTTTTGGGGACTAATGGGGCTCCCACAATCATTATTCCCTCTAAGGACTAACACACCGGGTCTAACAGTTATTCCCAACGGACGAGCTCAAAGAACTAACATTTAGTCCTCACATTCACACCTTAGTGAGTAACCGTTAGTTCCATTGTTCACCTCAAAGGATTAACATTTATTCCTCAAATGTGCACCTTATAGGCCGACTGTTAATCCCCACCACATTTACACCTTACCGGGCAACCATTAGTCCTCAGAGTTGCACCTCGCTAGACGATCGGTTGGTCCACTCAAACACTCCAATCGAATAAACTTGTTTATCCCCAGTTCAAACATTGTCTTTTTGTTTATTTTTTGCCAAGCCTAATACTTTTTTCGCCTGTTTTCCTGCGCAGTGAGCAACAAATTGCGCAGAAAAGAACACGCAAAAAAGTAGTTAGCCACCTATGTGTAACTGCTTTCGCAGTCATGGCAACAACGAAAGACAAAAGTGAGACATGGAAATCTTTTATTTTTCTACATACACCTGAAGTTTCTCCATTCTTTTAGGTAAATACATGGTGAAATGTGTAAGTCCACACTTGTTGTCACATCTTGTTCACTCCTTGTGGAGCTCCTTCGACGGAAGCGATAGATGACAGG